TCCGGAGATTCTAAAGACCCCTCGGGACAAGGTCCTCTACAGCCTATAGTAGGGGACCACGCGGTGCTGTGGAGCTTGGTGTGGGTGACCCACAGAGGTCCCTGCCAACCCCGACCATTCTGTGATTCTGTGATTCTGTGACTGTGAAAAGGATATTCCCAGCCCTCTGAATACAGGAGACAACTGGTAAATCCTAGTCTGAACCTTTCTGAAAGCAGATTGGGTTTTGGTTGTAGTATGTAATGAAAGTTAGAAGCTGTAACACTAGAGAAGAGTACACTGGGAATCTTAGGGTTTCTGCTATTTGTTACCCCATTTTTCCATAAGTGAAGAGCAATTTATCTGTAATGCTTACATAAATACGAATGTGTACACCACTGAAAAGAGTCTGGCCCCATCCTCCTGACACCCACCCTTAAGATATTTATAAGCGTTTATAAGGTCCCCTTAAGAAGTTCCTCAGCCAGCCCAAGGTGTCTCCCAGCTGGACAGGTACCTTCTGGCTCTGCTGCCAAGGGCTGCCGTGACAGCCGCGTCTTGCGTAGCGTTGGCGAAAGTGAAAATGCACTGTCCTGACCAGCGTGAGATTATCTGTTAGCCATCTAAATATCCTTCATTCCGACCCAGCTCTTTGGTCAGGGACCTTTTCATTCGCTTGGTTATCTCATCCCCTGTGAAGTAAGGGTTTTCTAATTTCACCTTTAATTTAGATCATGGTTTTTATGAAATACTGAGTTTTAGTGGCTGGTGACCTGACACCCGATGCTTTCATGTACTCAAGGTGAAAGAAAAAATGTTGCTGTCAATTTTATACAGTTTTAGTGCTGCAGGTTAGTTTCAAAACAGTTTTGTGATGCGTTCATCATATGAAGAATGTATAGGTACCTGAGCATTCTGTCAGTTATTGCAATGTGCTTGTGGTGCGAATTAATTTGGGTGAATTGCTGATTGCAGAGGTGGAAGCCGCCGCTCCCCGCAGCACACCACGAACTCGCTCGCCTGCAGATGGGATGAGCCGTTTTACCCGGTGCCGCCTCGCGTTCCGTTGCGTTTTCACACGTCGGTACCAGAAGCAGCGGTTTCAAATGCGTTTCTCACCTGCTTTATTTGTGCTGTTAGTTAGTCAGAGCACTGATTTACACACCTGAGCAAAGAACGGGAAACTGCAGCTGGTATGTACATGTCTGGCACAGACAATTACATATGTGTATATATAAAACATTTTAATATCACTGCCTTTATGTATGAATGTAATTAACCACGCGTGGCTGCTTTGCTCCAAAGTGTTTACCTTTTTGCTCGTCTTTAGTTTTCTACATGTCTGTAGTAAAATCTCTTGTAGGAAAAGTTTTTTGGTGTTTCCAGGATGACTCCTGGCTTCTCCATAAAGACTTCCTAGATGGTTCAAATTCCCAGGTGTTTAAACCCCGACTGTAGCTCGTGTGAGGGAAACACACATCAGGACACAGACCTCCTATATGAAACTTCAAAGACTTTGTCGTGAGGCTGGACTATTAAAATTATTTTTTGTTAACTGTGGCCTTGGAACTACCCCAAAGACATTAGTCTATACCATGGCTGTCTGGGACTGCCTTAATAACGAGGGGAAAAAACATTACTGCCTGACAGTATCTAGTCCTGTGAAGCACCAGTGGTGTGCAGGGCTGTGTTTACGCTCTGAGCTTTACGTTTTTAGCAAGGCATAGCAGAGCGAGGAACTGGCGCAACAGTCTACGGCAGGTCTGAAATCTGTTCAAGACACAACTCCAGGCAGAGCATACGGGGAGACCCACGCTCTGGGGGCTGCCTGGAGGAAAGCTGGAAGCCAGAGAGAGCCTGGGTTCCACCTGGCAGCGTGCAAGATGCTCCTTCCCATCGCTGAAGGAGAGAACGTTGCGTGATGGCTGTGGGCGTATTTACACCGTGCCAGACTAAGCCCTTACTAACGGAATGCAAAGCGAAGGGGCTATTTGTACAAAAGCCACCCAGGAGAGCTGTGGGGAAAAAAGTCTTCTAAATGGAGTAGTAAGTCACCAGAGACAGCAAGCGCTCTAGTCAGGTTTAGCAGCTGATTCTGCACACGCTGAAACGAGCATTGGGAGGGACCATCCCAGTTCCCACTGCTGTACTGGTGGGGAAAGCTGAGCTATTCTGGGTCGGAGGGGCCAGCTGGTCACAAACCAGCATGGTTTTTGCAGTCTTTGCTTGGGATATGGGCTGCCCAGGTTATGCTTTTTAGGTCAATTTTAAGCAGAAGGTAGATCTAAGCCAGGGTTTCCTACTCTCCAGAGGACTGCCATAGCTAGGGGACTGTTCATTACTCCGAAGTTCTGGAATTTTCTGTGGAAAAATCAATGATCTCAGAGCAGTCTCTGTGTAAAAAGAGAATTTTTTTTAACTCTCAGAAGTTTTGATGGTCAACCTTTTCTTCCCGTTTTTTTCAAAGTAGCTTTTTGAGCTGCCTTTGGGTACATAATCTAATGTTCAAGCTAATTGACTTGCGTGTCTCATCGAAGAGAGCAGCTGTTTCCAGAGAAATCAGCCCCTCCTCTCAACGAACCCTTGGTTTTGAAAAGCAAACCCAGCGTTCCCTGTGCTGTACCCCTGGCCCGGGGCTGTCAGCAGCCGCAGGCTGAGCCCTGGTGAGGCTGCGCGGGGAAGCGACTCGGCGCCGGCTCTCCTGTCCCCT